CTCTGCAAAGTTTGAAAACCACTGATGTATTATCTACGATCTAAGACAACAATGATTTCCGTACTGAAAGGGACAACCTTCATACCAAGTAATTAACTTTAGTATTGATAAACACTTTACAATATTGTAAATGTGAGCAATTATTTCGTTTTCTTCGTGAAATTTGAATTATAATTTCTTTCTTGAAGCTTACTTGTTATGTACTAACAATTATTTCGTTTTCTTCGTGAAATTTGAATTATAATTTCTTTCTTGCAGCTGTGGTGTTATGTACTAAGAATATAGTACATAACACCACAGCTGTGCCTAGACATTTCTACATCTGAAGGAAAAAGGTAAATGCAAGCCCATATCAATAATGCAAATAATCTAGTATATCTATACATTTTTACAGTCACCGAATTTAACTACTGTAAAGGCCGTTATTTTCGCAAAAATGAATATATCGGTGATTTCGCGAGCTGAAAATTTCGCTAATTTTATATGAACAGAACCGAAAGTAGAAAAATTTCAAAAGTACCTAAGTAAAGTTGAGAAAGTTGAAAAATTCCAAAAGTACATCTTTTGCATAAAGCATTTTAAGAAACTTCCCTTTGTCCGAAAAGTTCGTACCCCCCCCCGGTTCTCGTCTAAATGGCGAGTTCAAGCGTTTGCTCAAGAATGAGTTTATTGAGTGGTATTCTAATGAGCTTCAATTGCTAGAGGAAAAAGAATCTGTGGACTTGCGAATTTATCCCATTCTACCATCTTGATTCTTCATATTTTCCTTTTGTTGTTCCAGACATTCTTTTATCTGATGCAGAGTAAAAGCACGCTGTCACTATCTTTCCATTCGACACAAGCATCACGACTAAAACCGATTCACTCTTCTAGGCTTGTGCGCGTATTTAACGGTATTGAAGCCAAACACGAGATAATTTTGAATGCCTTCAAAGAAGCTGGTATAAATAGTATTCTAAGTGAATGAGCTGCCTTCTATTAATTTTATTGTTTTCTATTCGAGAAATATAGTTGTATAGTATTCAAAAATAGTTATACGAAAGAAAGTTGTCAAGAAAAAGCTTGTAACTGTGCAATAAATGATTAAATTTTTAGTAAGTGAAAAATTTCTGATTTTTTATTATTATTTGAGGCGGAAAAAAAATGTATTTCGCGAGGCTCACATTTTCGCGATTACAACGGGTTCGCGAAAATCGCGAAAATAAGGGCCTTTACAGTATTTTAAATCATAATATTATGTTAGTAAAGAGTTAAAGTTTCGGTCAAGGAGGAGAATCACTGAAAAATACGTAACTATAAGTATGAACCAATTTCTACGTAAGTTCCAAATGTAAATTATCATGTTTGGAAAGCGTGTATATAGTACTCTCAAACTTAGCTATTGCATTGTTTCAGAGTAAATTGATCTCATTAATTTTGCTGCCGTTAATTAAACTGGATTATTTGTAACACAAAATTGCTTAACTTACCCCTTAGATTTAATGAAATTGTATAATAAAATTTACAAGTTAAAATTTATTTCATTGCAGACATACATCATATAAAAAAAGAAAGGTACCGCCCAGTGGGATAGTGGTTAGTGACTCTGTTTACGTACTAAAGGGCCCAGGGAAGGCATGGATGTTTTAAATGTATAGTAGCTTTGCGGCACCGGGGCACGCGAAATATAGGGCGAGCCGAAAGTACTCCCATGTGGTTTGCTGGCAGGGGAAGAGAGGTCGGATACCCTCGAACGTCCCCCCCTTCAGGGTGCTCTTCCTCAAATCCTGCTGTCACCTATATGGTGCCCAAGGCTCTTGTCAACTACATACGCAGTCTTGTACCCCTTGCCATGATAAAATTCGTGGGTTATTCTGATTAGGTCAGACAAATGAGATTAGTAACAACAATAAGGAAGGTAACCACAAAAATCAATTACTTCAAATTTAAATAATGTTGTTGTTCTTTAAACTGATACCACGTTGAGTCGCATGTCAATTTATATTCGTCAGATTGATTGAGAAGATGATTAGAAAGATGACTAAATAGAAACCAGATAATCGGCCATAACTCGGTCAGAATTAAATGCAGTACCAAGAATTAACATTTTAAGCTATTTTTAATAGTATTAGTAAAGTTCTTTTTTTTGAAATATGGTTTTAATTGATTTTTAATTTTTTGCAACTTATTTGGCGTCCTTCCTAGTCGCTCAGTCTTCCAGCCCTATAGCATTGATAAGGGATCCTGTCAAAAACAAGCTAATAATACCTAAATTCTTCGATGTGTGATGTTAATGTGAATTTTCGGCAACGCAGCACATCCTCGCCTCTAAACCCCGCGTTGTCCAATGATAAATTAACCTTGACCTTGCTTTAGGTCATACTCTTCAGCTTAATAAGTTTTTACACCGAATACCAATAAATTCTCTTAATTTCTCAAATGAATCAATCTGCTGAATACTTCCTGACAAAAATACTCAATAAATGCACATGCACCGACTCATAATGTGAGTTTATTTTGATAAAATTCGTGGACTCGTTTACTCATCAGCAAATAAACTCACATTTCTATTAATGCTAAAATTAAATTATACCAGCTATGAGCAGCACGTAAACACCATACCTTTTAAAAGGGAAGGAGAGAAAACAGTGTCTTTTAATTGGAGCCAACGTTAAAAGATTAATGTGGCTCCTAAAAAATTAACAGCAAAAATCTTTCAATCATATTTTGTTTATTTGATTTCTATATTAAATTAATATATTATCATTATACTTCCAAAATTATCAGGAGCCAAACTATAAATAAGCAACTTATTTTCGCACTCCCCGTTGTAAATGAGAAGGTAACTCTTAAAAATACACGACAGTATAAGTGGTATAACTACAAATATATCACAACTTGCCTTTGCAAAATTATCTGCCACAAAATGCTTTACCATTTTACTGATTCAGCTGCTTTTTTCATATTTAAGCATTTTATACTCGCTCTTTTAACTACAGATTTTTCTGTTTTGCACTAGTACGCAATGAAACTAAGAGAAACCAAATTACATATGCTACGTTTGAAAACCTTAATTTTTAAACCAAACATCACAAGCCCTAATAAAGATACTCCAAAACATCGATTTAAAAACAATAATAATAAAATGTGTGATAAATTAAAGCAAATATAATAATTTTCAAAATGCAATTTTAAACTAAAAGCAATGAAAAGCAAAAGAAAGGAAAAAAAAAAAACTAATAACAAAATACGACATAACGGAGTAGAACATATATACGATATAAGAAGTATATAGCGAGAAGTATAACATAATACGATATAACGAAAAGTATATATACTTCGTATCCCTTTATTTCTCTTAGAAATTGAGTTTATGCAGCCTTTTATTTCTTAAAAAAAATTTTTTTTTAAGTATAATTTTATTTTTTATTTTAAAAAATGTGGTTTACAGTGAAATATTTATTTTCCATTTAAATATTTTTAAATAAAATTTCTTTTTATCTTTAAAAGTTTTTTTTTCTCCCCTGGTAAAGATTGGAATTGATCTCAGTTTGGGAACAAAATTTAATATAACTTCTTATCCACGAACTGTATGCTTGGCCTACCAACTTTTTTAATGCTTAAATTTTCATAGTGATATTTTATTGTTCATCTATACATGTTTAGTCATAGTTTTCATTAATAAAATGATTGCTTTCGCTATTAAAAGAACTCTCCATTACACACAGAACACGTTTTTCAAAAGTTTATATACCGTCTGACATTACAAGAGTGAAATGTAAAACGAAGAAATACGCTGGCATGTGCCGCTCGGCAGAACTGTTGAAAACCGAAATACAGAAGATGGCACGAGGATGCGCTTTTGCTGAAATTAAAGCACTGTGTGTGTATTTCAGCACAAGTAAGACAAACTGGACCACGCACAAAACAAAATCATTGATATAGATATATATAGATATTCCTTAGCAATGATCCATATAAATAAGTAATTAAATAGAAGTTTTTAGGTTTGTAGAAACTTTGGAAACTGCCTGAGCCTTGTAGCAAGGCGATCTGGAATAATAATTTAAAAAATACTAATGAAATGAAAAATATAAATATCAATAATGGACTTAATTAACTAGAGAAAACAATAATTATACATTTTTAAAATTAAATTTTATAAAAGAAACAGAAAGTAAATTAACAACAAAAGATGATATAAAATATTTTTTAATCATTCAGTTTTTCACAATAATCATCACTCATTTTTTTAAGATAAGTTTTTATCGGATTTTTTCAGGAAAATATATTTCTTTTATATTTATTAATGATTATACTGTGAGCTTCTGAACAGCACCCAAAACTGCTGAATTTAAAGGGTATGTTTATGGAATAAACATTGCACTTCATTTTATTCACAGCATTGACCATCGTATTTGAACCGAATTACCGAATTCTTGTTAAGTATGAAATTTTCTAATGTTGCTTTACTTTTTATTTTGTTTTGTTGTTTCTTTCTTTCTTTCCCTTTTTTTTTTTTTTTTTAAAGGGGCATTTTTATAAAACATCATCAAAGCCACTACTTTTTCTGTTACAATTTTCATTATTTCATGATTACCAAACTTCAATGCAGTACACTATTTTACCTATTAAATTATTCATATTTGCAGAAAGTCATTGAAGAAGAGAAGCCCATTGGAATAAGGGCTGTTGAAATACCGATTTATGTCTGAAAAGAAGTGAGTAGGACTTCGGTTAACAATGAGTGTAGAAACCCATAAATGAAGTAATAGTTAAAAACAAATAAATAAGGAAATTATGGAGTTCAAGAAAAACCGATAACTTGGCATAAATTGAGACGGGAGTAATAAGGCAGAGTAGAAAGAAAATAAAATCTTTTAGGAAGTTTGGAGTAACTTTCCTTCGAAAGTTTTCCAAGAAAAACACAGCCACTCCCCCCCCCCCCCCCCCGAGTTCACTATTTTTTGCAGCATTAACTAAAAAAATTAAAAAATTAAAACTACTAAAAACGAACTTACCCTCTAAAATCGGTGCCTGCAAATTCAGCGAAATTCGATATTAGAACCACATAATTTAAATATGAATTCAGTCATGTGCTTAACAAACTTCATGAACATTCGATGCCAATATTATGCATAAATTGCCAAGATTCAACCAAACTTTTTCTTAAATTGCGCGCTCGAGATCCGCGAATAACACACTTACGTCAACTGAGTAAGAAAACAAAACAGCCTCACGGCCGACTCAATCACCTTTGGACCTCCGACGAAGACTGTTCTACGAGGTCACTCTCGCATATCAACGGTTGTCTGAAAAGGAGGACAGAAAAAGCGCGGTTGTGAATGGCAGCTGTTCGCCATCTAGCGGCATCGCCGTAAATCGTTATGGTGAGAGAGTTGATTTAAAACCCAACTCGCGAAAACAGCCATACCGCGCATGCGTCCATGCTGCGCGTGATTGAGACATTAAGCGCTAATAAGCACTGGCAATACACGTAACCGGAAACTATTACTATATAGAGAAAGGCTATGAATCAGACAAACAACGCCTATGTGCAATTGCTATACGTGCAAGCTGTTTTGCGCATTCTTCTGACTTAGAGGCGAGATTATCAAAATATATATTTTTTAAATTTAAATATATATGTAGTATAATGGATGTAAATTAAAACTAAAATTTCAGTTTAAAGCTTTAAAAATTTCTTTCAGAAACTCCAAATAGATTAATTATGCTTTAAAGCAGGGTTTCTTAAACTTCTTTCATTCGCGACTCCCCTGAGATTTTTTCGCGACCCCCAGGACCCCATAATATTTACGAAAATGTTGTGGGACCCCATAAGCATTGCGCAAGTCCGACACACGCGTGTGTGAAACTGTCAGTTTTTTAACTTGTACTGTAATATATATACCATTGCAGTTTTAGGTCATTAACTTTAATTTCTAAATTTAAGACATAGAACGATGTAAAAATTTTAAATAAGTAACAGACGTCGCGTGCAAAGCAAAGAAAATAAACGTTTATATTATAAAAAGAGTGCGTCGAAACGTTTTCGTTTTTTAGTTTGTATTGTCTTATCTTTATCTATTTTCAAATACATTGTGTAAAAATATTTGGTAAGTGTAAAATTATTATAATAAGTTAAAGAAATATCAAAACTGCTACATTTTTGGCGACCCCCTGCTGCAGGTCCCGCGACCCTCTTGGGGGTCGCAACCCACACTTTAAGAAACGCTGCTCTAAAGCAACAGTAATCAATAACTTATAATTAAATAAGCAATGAATATAAATTACTGCTTCCGAAAGGAAGCGACCGTAATGCGCTCTTAAACTGTGCCATTTCAAAATTAATGGATGTTATGCGATTCTTGCGTAACATTCATGACGCAGATACGTGCAAAAGACCTCAACCAATAATAATTTTAGAAACTTAAAAATTGCCAGTTAAAATAGAGCTTAATCAAAACTGAATCGCTCTGAACTCAGCTGCTTGCTCTCCACTGCTGCACTTATTTTAGGCGTCGGAAATTCATTGGTATGAAGACGTAGAAAAGGCACGAATGTGATCAAGAATGAGGGCAGATTACGTCCGTTGCACTATGTAATTCAAATTACGAATGTGCTCCTCAATAGTAAGAAAATGATTAACCGACAAGAATGCTTGCATTATGTAAATTATTTTTCATTGCATATTGGGGAAAATTCGAGCCTAATTTGGTGAAAGTTTCATAATGAAAAAGCCATATGCATTTCAAGTGAAAATCTGATGTCAGTATTTAAAAATCTGTAATTTGTATATGTTCGTTTCAGAATTAAACAGATTATTTCAAACTAGATGAACTATTTATTTTAGTTATATATATTATTATATATACTTCCAAGCAGTGCTTTTTAAAATTAATAAATACAGAACAGGAAATTAACAATATATTAAAATCAGTTTTCAATTCCAAGCAGTGCGTTTAACATTAATGGATATAGAATGGAAAAGGAACAATATACTAAAATCAATTTTCAAATCAAGCATAAAATCTGAAGCAGTTTTTCAAAACACGCTTCTTCGGTAGTTCCGGAAAGTAAAAATGTAGTCAGGTTATTGGAATATGGCAAAGCAGACGGGGACTATATGCCTTCATGGAGGACCCGCTAAGATAAACTGGCTCGTATTCACGTTACAGTGCCCGCTGGATAAAAGCCCACTGGACGAAAGTTCACAAAACTTCATCAAATAATCCCACTGTATGATAATTGCTCACGTGACAATCTCCCACACAGATAAAAGAGCACAGTGATAAAAGCCCACACCGATAAAAGCCCGCACTGATATAAGTCCAAGCTGATAAAAGGCCACATGAATAAAAGGATACATGGTTTTTATCCATATATAATGTATTTATGATTGTAATTATAATAAAATGGAGTGTTTAAGTTTGATTTTTTATGTCTTAAAATTATGTCTCTTTATGTTTCATCACTACTTTATTTGTTTACTATGAAAAACAAGCTTTTTCTGCTTTCTGATTAAATGATTAGCTACAACCTTTTGATGATAAACCTGAAAATGTATTTATTTATTATTTTTATTTCTTTATTCTGCATATGCGTGTACGTGAAAATGAAAAATATTATGATGAAGTTTAGCAAAAAAAATATTTTTAATGGGATATGACTAAGAATAATTGTACGTAATGTTTCAATACTAAAAAATGGGAGAGATGTTATTTAATCAAGGAATACAATAAATTATTTATATAGTTACTTTTTAGTTTATTTTAATAACCTCTTTTAATTCTCAAACTATAAGCAGTACCTTTGAAGATAAAATTTTAAGATAAAAACCTAAAAAGGGAACTCTTAGTAGCACTGATAAAGTTTTGTTTCTGATCTTTAAGAACATTGCTTTTGCAAACGTTCCATCATAAATTAAAGCTATTCTTACCTTCATCTTCACTTACACGTCTGGTAATTTATTTATACCCTAAAGTACCAAATGTTAAATCAAGATCCTAATTTTTAAACTTGCCCCTAAATTTCCTGAAAAAGAGCACTTCTCTTCGTTTAAAGAATACAATTCTTTTTTATTCTAATATTATGACAAATGCATAACTTTTTCTTAGATAACCGTCTTTTAGAATTATGATCTATTTACAAATTTGCAGGAAATCCTTTAACACGGCTATTTTTTGACGCATTAAATTCTTTGCAAATTAAATATATGCTTCCACTCTTAGAAAATTCATATAAGAGTCTATTTTCCAAGCATACTATTCAGCTAAATATATTGTTTAGACTTCTGGAAACGCTGATATGTGATTTGGGTAAATTTCGTATAAAGTGAAAAGCGTAATATGAGTTAGAATGACGAGTATTTCATTACACCGTTTATTTTTCTTTTGAAAATAATTAGCAGCTACTCGTATATAAAAAGATAAAGAAATGATAAATATCTATCGTAATGAAAATCAAATAAAAAATAGGTATATCAGAAGAAGCATGCTAGTGTAATTACCATTAAAGCTATAAAGATCAGGATTAGTTTATTTGAATCTGCACAAAACGCACTAGGGCTATCTGCTTGAAAGGCGGTATGCCTTCGTGGGGTAGACTTTCTTTGGAAAGCTGGTTCATATTCGTGTTACACAAGGGGAAATCTATGAAAGCCATCCATGCAACCAGTACGTTCGCCTGGATTCAAACACAGGTCGAACTAGCAGTAATCAGCGGTCTTAGCCACTGGTGGGATCTAAAAATATAAAGAAACAGTATTTTGTATTTGGACTAAATTTCTGGTTATTGTGCTTTCAGAGTGCATATAATATTGAATTATCAGCAGTTTTTTAAATATTTAACAATACTTATTATAGAACAAAATTTTATCCATACAGATATCATTAAAATAATTAAAAATGTTAAAATCTTGATTTTTTTTTTTTTTTTTTTTTTTTTTTTTTTTGCTTGAAATGAAAATTAATATATTTATTACTGTTTGTTATAAAAATAAAATCCCAACTTGCTTTAAAACTTATTTATGTTATGTAATAATATTCAAATCTCAGGAAATTTTTTGCTTCCTTTTAACACTATCGCAATGCAACATTTGCTTCAAAAATTTTTAATGTTAATTATTTTCATTTACAGCTAATATCAGAATCACTTCCCAGAAATTTAAAGCAGAATCTGCGAAACTGTTCAGATGAAACCTATTTTGAGCTTAGAGGATTATATCATTGCTGAGAATTGTGCCTATTTTTATTACATTAAAAACGAGCTATTTCAATGAAGAATCTTTATGATACTTACCAAATAAATAAAAGTACATTCTAAATTAACAAATTTATTTTAAAGAATGCATAATCACTTAAATTATATTAAAAGCCGGTAGAAATCCTAGAAAGACGAAACCCAGGGCTGGCTTCAAAAGCTAAAATTCTCAACTAACTTCCTAACTTTCCTAACGTTTCCTAACGTCAACCTTCTGAGCTTTAAAAAAAAAAAAAAAAAAAAAAAAAAAAAAAAATTAAAAGCTTTCAAATTTTACATTACGCCCAAAGGAGCGTTTTTTTTTAAAAAAAAAAAAAACATTTTGTGTGTTATTTTTATTTACACGTTCTTCACCCTTTAAACATATAATTCAATTCAACAGCTGTATCGTAAAATAATTTTAAGATGAGCATATCTTTAGAATTTCTGATACACAGTCTCGTGCACTGGGGATAAAAAATGTTTTTTTTTCGTACAGTGTTGCCATTGCTCGCTTTAAAATCGTTGAGTTTCTTAATAAAAAACACATAAATGCTTTGCGAAACACGAAATAGATAGTAAAACAAATTTCAAATTCCAAGTTTGGGCTTGCAGATGCTCATATTTCGGTGGAGACGTACGTTATTCAAAATTTGATGGCTCTAGGTACCGATGTTTTATCACAATGAGAGAAACATGCATACATTTATGCAAATTCTTCATTATTTAATTTCTTTAAATATAATACAGGGCTCTAATATTTGGTAGCAACAATTTAAAAAGGGATTATAGTGAACCAACGCAAAATGCTAAAACGAAATTAATAGCCCTTCTGTGCAAACTGCCTCTTTGTGCTAATAAAAAAGTAATAAAATAAAGAGAATTCAATAAACTAAATTGAGAGTGTATTTCCTAAAAGTAGAAATTGTGTCTTTAGTCCGAAAGAGTTCAGGAGAAATTGGTGGTCAAGATACAGACAGGTGCTTCAAAGTTGTCTCAAGTATCTGCTTTTGTTGGACTTGATGAACACTCAAGAAAAATGTGCTTAACATCTTCATCGCCGCTACCGCAGCTG